CACTTTTTAGCGCGGACCCGACGTCCATATAATTGTAAGTCAATGGATAGAAATGACAAAATTACAAGTTTATACTTAATTTTAGATGTAACTACACAGATGCAATTATTTATTTAGAAAAGGATGTTACAAATATTTACGCAACACAGTAGTTAAGTAATAAAATAACACCATAGCATTATATAAAGGCAATAAGTGGTTTAGTCAAGTTTTTACCGATACTCGAATGTCCCAATTTTTTTAAATATAATTGTAATTGTAACTTATTTATAAAAAAAACCGACCTATAAAGTTCAAGGAATCTATTATATATAAGTTTTATTGAAATCGATAATTAAATAATTTACAATTTGTCTGCAGTCTAGATCCAACTCCTAAAACTATTACTGATTTATCCCATACCATTTTAATCGTAAATTGTTATAAAAAAATTTCACATAAATTCGAATTGTAATGTATGTTGACGCCTTAGACTAACGCCAGAGACAAATCTTCAAATAGTACTCCATAATCCTAGAAATCCGAAATCAGAAACATTTATTGTATGAATTGGTAAAATACAGGTGTTACTTACAAGTGATTAGATCTACAATTCTTACCCAAATCAGGCGTGCAATGTCTTAAAATTACAATTCAATTAAAATTTATTACAACTTAAATGTTAAAAATTAAAATTATAATTAAGTTAGTTATACAATTGTCAAATATTTGATGTCTTTATATAAAAGTTCGTTAAGATTGTAAAAAACTTTGTCAATTAACTATTTTTTTAAACAAGCTTTAAATTTATCACCATTTAAACATTTCATTTCCATTGGAAGTCTGTTATAAATTCTAATCGCTGTTACATAGGTGCTGCGGTCAAAGATCGTGCTGTTTATTTTAGGGAGGACAAAACGGTCCTTGTTTCTGACGTTAACGGAGTGTACGTTAGATATTTTAGTAAAGAAGTTACTGTGATTACGTACAAAAAGACATATTTCCAAAATATATATTCCTGTTAAAGTCAGGAAACCCTTTTCTTTGTACAGACTTCTTAGAGAATAGTCACTGGGTTTACTATAGATTATGAGTAAGCATCGTTTTTGTATTGCGAATATTTTAACCGCATTGACAGAGTTTCCCCAAAAAATTACACCATACAAATAATGGGTATACGTTCCCGTAATATGCGTTTTTTGCAACTTCAACCGACGCTACATCGACCAATACAGCTAAAGCGTAGCAATAACTATCAAGCTTGTTATTTAGCACATCTATGTGATGTTTCCAATTTAAATTTTTATCTATTATTATTATTCAATTTTAGGAAGACCAACGGCTATCTTACATAACATAAACTTAAATAAAAACGGAGAGCCAATTATAGGTCCTCACCGGTAGATCTATAGTAATACCAAGAAATTTAGTAGTGTTTACCTCATCAATAACGTCATTTTCATAAGTTATGTGTAAATCTAAGTAAATTTTTTTGTAATTACCAAACTGCATATATTTTGTTTTAGAATTATTTATTTTTAAATTTAGTGATTTAAGCCAGGTAATAAGACCGTTCAATGTATTGTTTATGTCAAATTCGTAGTCAATTTTTGTTTTTCCGTTATTAGTAAATAATATTGTGACATCATCAGCGAACATAATAGGTATACAACGTGCATAACGCTGAGTAAGATGTGGCAGTTCATTTATATATATAATAAAGAGAAGAGGACCCAGTACGCTTCCCTGTGGCACTCCCAATATATTTCTTAAGTATGTCGATCTGGCCTCTTGCACGCATTTATTGCTAAATACGGTCAGACATAGTGCTTGTTTACGTTCCGATAGGTAACTACGTATTAAGTCATTTGCTACGCCTCGAATACCACATTTGTCAAGTTGTTTTAGCAAGATAGAGTGTATAACACAGTCGAACGCTTTTGTCATGTCCAAGAAAAGTGCAATACTGTCTTTTTTAAGATTTATAGCTTCCCACAAACTATGTAGAAATGTAAAAATGGATAGAGATGTTGATCTCATTTTACGAAATCCAAATTGAAACTGACTAAATATGTTACGTTTATCGAAAAAATTTGTTATTCTTTTGTAGATAACCTTCTCAAATCTTTTAGACAAATTCGGAAGAAGAGCAATAGGCCTGAAATTTTCTGAGATTTCTTTGGAACCTTTTTTATGTAAAGGTTTTATTAATGATATCTTCATTTTATCAGGAAAGTAGCCTGTTTGTAGCATTAAATTAATTATATGTACTAGTGGCAATATAATAAAGTCAACACTAGTCTTTATCACTTGCATTGAAATACCATCGTCACCACAACTTCGTTTACTTTTAATAGTTTTAATTATATGTCGAACTTCCTGTTCATTAACTGGATTCAAATATACGCTCTTACTTTCATGTTCTTGAATAGATTTGTAATTATTAACAAAATTGGAATTAAAACTTTGTGTAACATAATGTCTATTTAAATGTTCAGCTATTTGTGAAGGGTCAGTTATATTTCCTTGATCGGTTTGTAAATTTTTGATTGTTGTTGGTATTTCGTTTGTAGTTGTAGTATTCCGTTTAATTGTATTCTAAGTGGCTTTAGTTTTATTTGTACTTTTGGTTAGTAATTTATGTTCGTTTTGCGTTTAGAATGTCGTATAGTGGATCTAAGTATTTTTTTATATTTATTGTAATGTGAAATAGTAGAATCGGACCTATATTTTTGGAATTCAACGAAAAGTTGACGCTTGCGTTTGCTAGAAATTTTAATACCTTTTGTTTTCCAATGTGGTTTCTTTCTGAAGGTCACTTTACATTTTTCTATCGAAAAACACAAATCGTATACAGTTTTGAATATATCAATAAATACATTATATACCTCATTGGGATGAGTTTGCTCAAATACCTCATGGAACTTGATTTGAGATATATATTTCATAAATATGTCAATGTAATTGCCAATTTTTCTTCTATAAACATTCCAATGTCTGACAGAAAAGCTAGCGGAACAAGGAAATTTCAGCATTTGTGCCGTATGATCGGATATACCCAGATTTAATACTACTGCTTTACATTTACTGAAATTTGTAACAATGTTGTCAATACAAGTCTGAGAATGCGATGTAATACGTGTAGCTTTAGTAACTCTGCATTTGAATTTATGTATGCTAAGGATTTCCAGAAAACGTGACGTAAGGTTATCCTTTTGGAAAAGGTTAATATTGAAATCACCCACTAACACTATTTTATTATTTAAATTTCTATGTTTTCTGGTCAATTTGAATAAGAGACATTCAAGCCGATCAAAGAAGATGGTAAAATTTTTACCAGACCTGTATAGGCATACTATTATTGTTTTCAAGTCAGGAATATTTACCCCACAACACTCGAAATTTTCCTCTACAGCAAATTCATGGAACCATTCCAGTTTATTAAAATGTATAGTATTTTTAACGAAATTGCATACCTACTACACCCCGTCTGTGCTTTTTCCTGCAAAAATATTCAGCTAATTTATAACTTTCTATATGCACACAAGACTGATCGCCTTTTTTAGGAACGTTTCGCTGAAACATAGTACATCCGGAGCCGTATCTGCGAGCGAATCTATGTAAATGTCAATTTCATTTAGTTTTGAGCGAATACTTTAAATATTCATATGGAAAACCTTAAAACTTCCTTTACTTTTATTCACGAAAACAACTATGATTCGAATTCCCTTCGCTGTAATTCAAATCGCAATACTTTCTACTATTACAAGTTATCTTAACATGTTTAAAGTAGTCCGTTATCCTTGTCTGGGAAGAATCTTTTGAATTAGTCGGTTTAGATATTTTTGAAATATTACATGTGCGATTTAAAGATGAGATCATTGCTGAGTGCATGTTATTAATTTTAGATTGACGATTGTTATAATTTAAATATGTTCTATTATAATCCCTAGTATTGATATATTTGTTCAACGCAAGCACTTTGCCCACAGAACCACTGCACTTAGTCAAATCAATATAACAGCAGTTGTCAAAATAAGTTAACAGTGTTTTTAAGGAACTATTTAACATGTTCTCATTTAGATGTGGATTTTTATCTACACTCGTAACTATAACATTTGTATTAGAAAGTTCACTGAGTGCTACTGTTAAGTCTGCAATTAGTTTAGTGGGATTGCAGTCATTTGAACCAATTGATATCACTACATAGTCGTCTTACTTCAGGTTTTTTATAGTTTTAGCACTCATTGCTATGACATGTTCAGTAACGGCATTTGCCTTGATGTTACCAAAAATGGTATAATCATGTACATTTCTGCGTTCTTTTGATCTGATTTTCATTAGATCAGCAGACCATCCCGATGCCTGTTGATCACCAAAAATGTAGATGCTTGATGTTCCAACTTTTTTTGTGTATCTTTCTTCTAATATAGTTGTGCACGTCTCTTTCCTGTTTTTTAGTTCTGTTGATTCTTGTTTTAAACTTTCTATTTCTTCGTTGAGCTTCAGTCTAAATACTTCCATTTTTTGTAATTCCTTTTCCAAATTTTTTATTTTCTCTTGTAGATGCTCCACTTTAGTATTCTCGTAATCAATATTAAGATTTGGTGTGTTTTGAAAAGTAGGTGATGAATTTATCAAGGATTGCCAGTTTTTCTTCAAGTTGCTTTTCTTTAAAGGTGGAGTTTGACACAAGGTTTTCAACATCTCAATATCGGATGTTAGTTTATTGATTTGTCTTTTTAGTTCATTATTTTCTATTATTGTGTTTTCAAATTCATTCTGTGTAGTCATTAACTCCAACTTTAGTGCTTTCATTTCTTTTTGAAACTCTTCTGTGCGTGTTGTATCGCTGTGTTGCTTTATTGTACGATTTAAACTCTTCGATAATTTTTCAGGAGTGCTCGCCTCACTGTCGAATATTTGTGAATCGAAATTTTGCGCGGAAAGTTCGAACTGGATAATAGCAGGTGTATTGTTATCATCACAGATACTTTTATTAATTATTGGTGCAACTGCAACCTTTTCCGCTAGACTATCTGTTACTGAGGATGTTTTGTGATCCCTTTTCCTCGTCGTTACATTAGATTGATCGTTATCTGACCTCCGCGGTGGAGTGGCTTGCGCACCGGTTTTCATAGTGTCGTCATCTCTAAGTTCCCGTGTTCGATCCTCGGCCGTCTCAATATAGAAAATGAACTTTTCTATATTGTCTCGGGTCTGCGAGTTTGTGGTACCGTCGTTGTTTCCGATTGTGAGATTTTCCTAGTAGACATAGAAATGAGACTCCAGTGGCTGTTCTAAATTATATTGTAAGATTTTTCACTATAAATCTAAACAAAACAAAACCACGTCTTTTCTAGTAAAAGATGTTTTTCGTAATGGCGGCCGCCTGTTAGCGTTCCGTTAATTCGATGATGACGATGTCGACATATTTATTATTACGATGAAACTAATTCTTATTGAAGCGAAGTAATAATAAATAGTGTTTGAAAAAACAAATATACGCGATTTAAATCCGGAAAAATAGTTTAATTTCCTATGTGTAACAATCGCGAAAACCTAACAACTCAACAAAATATACATTAGTAAATTAATGTCACGATTCGCTAACACTATTTCCATAACACAAGTCTTTAATTATTTTCTTTGGCATCAGAGCAACGTAAGTGATGTTGTCTAATATTTATTTATTTATTATTGTTGTTTTTTATTACCATCTAATGTACTCGAAGTTCTCGTCTTCTTATCGTATCGATGGCGTACACTATAATGCCTGCATGCCTGCCATTGCCAATTGACGTAAGGTACTCCCCGATTATTGTCCAGAAACCCTTGGCCCGTGAGGTCCCAGTGCCCTTCGTCTGTACAAAATTTTATCCAAAAAATTAATAGACTGTCTGGGAAACCCAAGCGCTAGCAGCTACCTTGCCCAATGCATTAGCACAACAATACAAAGGAGGAACGCTGCCAGGATCTTGGGTACCTTGCCGCGGGGACGCAATGTTATTCATATAATTTAAAAGTTTTACTTTCTAGTATTTAAGTTTTTATTGTCTTTTTAACCGACTTCAAAAAAGGAGGAGGTTCGACTGTATGTTTTTTTTGTTTTTTTTTTGTATGTATGTTACGCGATAACTCCGGTACTTGTGAACCGATTTTCATGATTCTTTTTTGTTGGAAAGGGGGTAATTCCATAGTGGTTCCATTTCATTTTGAAGAAAATCATCCACCTCTAAGGGTGACTGCTCACGCATGAAGATTCATTTTTATAAATAGCGCCAAAATTTTACTAAGGAGCAATTAGATAGATAGATAGATTAACACTTTATTCACTGATATAACACAAATACAGATTTAGCATAAAAGAAAAAACAAAACATGATTGTCATAGCAGTGAAACGGCGCTGACTCAGCATATGCCAAAGTTTCCTAAGGCGCTGGTTTTCAGTCAGAACCAACGAGAGGGATTAAGTTATTAGAAAGCAAAAATATAACGACTATGAGTAAAGTTATACATTGACAATAATAGTATACATAGTAAAGTGTAAATAGTGCATCTAAAATAACCTGTTTGACATATAAGTGCATGAGCAAATGTGAATATAATTATAGCTGTAGGTGTAAGTTATGACTGTAAAGAGGATGATGTCTCGTTGCGTATAGGTGGTGGAATATTATTCCAGCACTTTGAGGCCGAATATTTGAAACTACCTCGAAAAGCTGTTATTAAATTATTTTAATGGTTGATCTTGCTATTTCTCCAATCTAAGGCGTTTTTCTCTCCACATACTTGGAGTAATGAGAACCGATTTTTGTTATTTGTTTTGTTCTCCAGTGTCAAGTCCTGTATAGTGGCGAATTTAAGGATATTTCAATAAAACTTAGCAAACAGACGTAATTCAACGTACTTTTGAGGTCGGTTTTTTTTAGTACTCTGTACTGAGATTACCTTACCTGTATATTACCAATAAATAATTTCACATTTTTTTGTTTAATTTTTTTAGATATAATATTCACATACCACAAAGTTTGTAAAAAAAGTTAACTGATTCACAATATATACCAAACCACTGCCTTGAGTAACAAATGTTTCTTTATTAATTCAATTATTTATCTCTTTTATATTTATTTATATATATTAACAATACCATAAAATAAAATAAGCCTTTATTACTACCAGTGTTAGTTGACATTTACAATTATTACTAGTTACATTTACATGTTATTAGCTACATTTACATACTTTTAAGTTACATTTATATATTATTTGCATTAGTTAATGCTGAGGTCATTATCAACTTCATGCAGTCGTGGTCTCGCCTGCATGAAGTTTATTACGACTTCACGCTTTAACTGCAAACATGCTGTCTATCTGTTAGCCGCCTAACTGCTGACGCCCTGCTCTTTTTATTATAATATATTAGGCAAGTCAGTTGCTAATCTTGCGTCTAGCTTCCATCTAGTATTTAAGTGATCGGAGTCGAGTTCCCAGTACTTTTAGCTATTTTAACTTTCTGGCAGCTCGGCTGCGGAACCAGTCCCTTGCTAATGCTTTGGAGATAGTAATTAGGACAATATAAATATCAGCGTATGTGTGTTCGGAGCACGCTCCAGGGTATTTAAGGCAAATTGCTAACACTTCGCTATTTATCACTAATGTGGGCTCCGTACCTTTCTACACTGAAGTGGACAACAAAATTGTTTACTGATATCCCAATTCATTAGAAAACTTAATTTTCAGATTAATAAAAAAAAAATGCAGCGTGCAGGATCTAGCGGGGAGCGCACGCCTCTGGTGCAACCCACCTACATATTTGAGTCGAGTCTCACGCGCAGATATCACAAGCGCCTGCGCAACTTCCAGTGCGCTGTCTGTATCAGTTTGATGTAAGTTTCATGATGGTTAAAACTTTCGGTCAAATTTTTTTAATAATGCCTTTTGCAACGTGCGATCGGTCCACGGATCAGTTGTTTTATTGTGATTAACTACCTTCATATTTCCAATTTCTTCATCCTTTTTCCGTCTCCTCAATTTTCAGTTACTTAAAAGTTCGTTCAGAGCTTCTCCAAGCCTGTTATCATGATAACTTTAATTAACTTTTGATTAACTTTTTGTGAGATTATGTCCTTATAGGCTTTTGTCATATACTTATCTCCTGTTCGTCAAATATAAAAATAGGTAAAAGAAAACATGATGGTATAGGGACTGTAACACACAGAATAACAAATGGACAGATTCATAGTTTAAATCTTTTACTTTCAACAACGTAATTAGTCAACTAAAATCGGGGATATTATACGAATCCCCCAGACTTTATTAAAGAAACTACGCCACAAATTAATGAATCCCTTCTCGTACAGAGCAATCCTGAGCATAGCCCTCCTGGTCACAGTAGGCTACAACTTAAGCGATGACATGGGTATGGACAACAGCACGGATGACTCTACGCCTATTCCTCAGACAAACCTGACAGTAACGCCCTTAAATCTGTCCAGCACTGCTCCAGAACTGCAACCATTGTTGCAGTTATCATGGCCTTTGCAAGGTGAGTTTGTGAAGCTTCCTCCATTTACACAAAACATTGTAGACGTATGGCGGAAGATAGTTCCTCTATTGGCTAACTTCTTGATTACTAGATCTGATTATCAGATAAAGCTGTCATGTATGACTCTACATTTTTCTTGTAATCTGAACCATTTTGACGATTTCGGTGACTCGGTTAACTCTGTGAGCGCTGGATGAGGAGTTTTCGGGTTCTATTCCCGGTAGGACCAAATTGGAAAATCAGCTTTTTTTAAATTGATCCTGGTCTGAGAAGTGCCTCAGAGTGAATTCCTTTGCTCTGGTACTAATAGACAGTACTGGGATTTCCCTAATTTGAGATCGAGCAATTTCCCTATCCTATGACAAAAATCTTAATTCATTTTGAAGTAAGAATCTAAACAATATACAACGATCTTGATAGGTACCTACATTAAAAAAATTAAACGTTAATGATTTTCAAAGGTCGGCAACCAAAAAACTGGTCAAATCAACCAACACCTGAAGAGATCAAAACAGCAGTAGAAAGAGGAAAAGCTGATCTCCAAAAAAGAATAGAACTGGAAAAGAAACGAGCGCCACTAGCGAAAGATACTCCTGCCAGCCGAGCGCAGAGAGCAGCTGCTACTTCTAAGGATGTGAAACCAATGGCTAATAATGCTTATGCTGCTGAACAGGCCACCAGGCTCCTGGTTAATGGGTAAGTAGCAAACACAAAACACCTCAGACAGTAGACTTGCTCGGTCTTTAAAATGAACGCTTCGATCTAGTTCAATCGGTCAACTGAACTAGTTCGGTCTTCTAGTTCTTTTTCTTTCACTAACACTAAGAGACGGGACGAACAAGTCGTGTGCCTGGTAGTAAGCGACACGCCTGTCCCTAAAAGTCGCAGTGTCACTCAGAGCTTTAAATCACAAAGATCTAAGGCCACTGCAACTGCGCACGACACCCTGAGACTGATAAGTTGACAAGTCCCATGTGCCAGTAATTTCACCAGCAACCTTACCCTCAAAACCGGAGCGTAGCAATGCTCACATTACTACTTGGCGGCAGAAATAGGTAATGTGACAGTACTTGACAGAACTCTTTCACAAGGAGCTGTAATGCTACTAAAGCTTTTAGCTTGCTCGGGCGTCCAAGCCAATCCCTCAGCCAGTGATACGCCTTCACGGGCGTCTCTGGTGGACCCGGACTTGAGTCACGCTCATTTTGTGGTGAGCTGCAGAGTATGTCTGAGCTGAGAGCTGAATGACTCTCTGTCTCGTGCGTAGCTAGCGCATCTTAGCAGCTGTCTTGTTGAGAGCCTGAAGCGAGGAGTCGCGCGGGACACGTGAGTTACCCTTTGAGTTGGAAGCTATGTCCGCACATTGTCTCATTGGGCATCTACGGCACTAGCCTGGAGAGTTAGTAGAGGATAAGCTAGATATCCTCTTAAGTTATTGGGAACTGGACAGACATCGTTATCCGGCGTCAGGAAGTGAGCGTGCTTTCCAGCTCCGCCACCAATGAGGAGATTTGGTAGTCGACTTAGTGGCACTATAAACAAAACTTATGTAGAAAGATATGGGACTGTCCTTGCTCGGACATGGAACGAACACTCCAAACTAGTAATTTTATGTAAATTAACTACTCCGGACTTCTAGTATGTGTTGTTAGGTCAATAGTACACTTTACTAAATATAGAAAATACAATTTTGATTATCCTTACAAACACATCTGCGTCGTTAACTTACGCTCAGTCGTACATTTCACTCGAAATGTTACTAAACACAGTAAAAGTACATTAGTTGTCCCTTTCGCACAGTGCCAACTGAACTAGTGAACTAGAAAGATCCGTGAACTATTAAGCTCATGCAACTTATAAAATAAAACCTAATTCATCATCTTCTCAATCTATAGGAATACATCCGTTGCTGGACGTAAGCCTCTTTCCTAGGATCACCAATTTGAGCTGTCCTGTGCTGCTTGCACGACTATTTCAAGATGGTTGGTCCACGTAGTATCGGAGTCACGTGGTCATTCATACCACGTCTTCCGATAAACATAACCTATAACTTTAAGATATAGTCTTAGCTCTACATGGTCATCATCAGCCATTATCCAATAGCAACCGTTAACAAAGTGATATTAAGTAATGATTCCGGGCCGTTAGCATCTGACATTTATTTAAATTTCAAGGAAGTAACAGACATAGAGCAATTTCCTCCGTCTGAAATTATGTCGTATTTTGTTCTATAGTATTTTTTATTTTGAGTTGTAGTATACATCCATACATATTCGGGATCGGGGAAACAGTTAATATACCTAATTTATTGCAGAAATCTATCTCGTTAATTGTCAACATCATTAATCAGATTTTCTATCTTAAAAAGTCATATTTGACGTTTATAATTTCATAATGATATCAATACAGAGTACTAAAAAAAAACCTACCTCAAAAGTTCGTCGAATTACATCTATTTGCCAAGTTTTATTATTCAAATCGGTTACCGAAAGTGCGCGAAACCGGATTCATCCCCTAGTTTGCCACCCTTAGAGGTGGAATATATTCTTCAAATTTTAATGGAACCAGTACTGAGGTATGCTCTTTCCAAAAAAAAGAATCATCCAGATCTTGATGATGATTCACAAATAAGTAATCGCGTAACATCAAAGAAAAAATTAAGTCGAATTGCGAACCTCCTTTTTTTAATGTGGTTAATTAATTTCGAAATAGTCAAAGAATTTTACTTAGTAATATGTTAGTAATAATTAATATGTGAGTAATGTACCAAATAGTGCCCTTATTATAATTACTACATAAATAACACAAAAAGCACTTTGTGCCCTTTTATTATATTCTAAGTCAACTATTCATAATTATAATTAAGTTAGTTATGCCCTTAATATGTAAATAGTACATCTAATAACATTTTTTGTGTTTTTTTTTCTACTAAGTTTATTATATATAAAATACATTAATATATTAAAATACAATGAATATTTCTGTATAAAATATGTCTTATATATATTTAGCATTAATAAATTACTTAACATCAAACATTATTATGTTTTAATTTGTCCTTTATACCAGAAAGATCTAGAAAGCCGTTAAACTGTTTTATCTCCGAATTTTGAATTTACGCTTTGTGCCTTTCTTTCGAGAGCAGAATTACTTTACTACGATAATGTATTTAGTATAATCTCAGTACAGTGTCTTCCAGCTTGTGGCCACCACGCCAACACCATGGACACATAATAATAACACATATAAATTTTCATTCAATATATTCAAACCTTGCTTAGTCATATTGCATAGGTCCAGTTAGTGAACGACGATATGTCGGCTTCCGGCCTATTAGACCAATTGAGATCTTACAACCGAGTAGATACAACATATACTTACTACTCAGACCTTATTTAAACAAGCAAAGAGCTTGTAAAGGTACCTGGCTGAGTGAAGAAATATATTTCTCAAAGATGGCGGTACGGCAAATAAGTCGTTAAAAACAAGAAACAAAGATCTCAGTAATTTTCTGGTAAGTTTTTTTTGTACTCAATTTTGGTGACAATTTTTATTATTTATACTCGAAATATCACCGTGAAATATTAAAGAACATTTGAGGCTACCACAATAGAATATTAAATAATACTTCGTGATGATATTCTATATTCTCGCTAATGTCGTACGATTCACTCATATAGGGTAACTCCACGGATGCCAATAGAGTCATGCTAATGCAAAAACGTGCCGTACGCGTATTGGTTGGGGTAAAACACAGACATTCCTGCAGAAATCTCTTAGTAGCGCAACGCATAATGACGCGCTACTCACTCGACTTATACGCAATTATAATGTACGTTAGAAATAATCTGTCTTCATTTGGTACTGTAAATGTTTCTGGCATCCCACTTCGCCGTACCGGTCATTTGAGAACAGTCCCCCGACGCATGGCACTTGCAGAGAAAAACCCGCGTGTCATCGGACCTGCTTACTATGAGCGTTTACCCGCTATTCTCAGACTTGAACCGTCTGACGAAACATTTAGGCGCCGGCTGAATGACCTTTTCTTGAAAAATCCTTTATACTCTGTAAATGAATTTATGGGCTTTAAATTGTAACGAATTCAGTATTTTCTATTTTTATTCTAATTCTTACCGCATTAACGTACTCTTGTATAATTGTTATCAACTTATGACGATCCTTGATGGAGAATGATATTTGATTATAATTTAATGACAACAATATTACATAATTAATTGTTAATTTTCTAATTATTGTGTGCTTTTCTTATAATTTTCCTTTTTGTCTGACGATCTCAATTTAATTTCTTATACTTTGACATGTAGTGCAATTTATACTGTAATGTTATATTTGAGAAATAAATGAATCTGAATCTGAATCTATAAATATTTAAATAAAAAGAAATTGTCACCAAATTTGAGTACAAAAAACTTACCTGAAAATTACCCATCTGCAACAAGCACATAGAAAAATTCGTAAGATGCACTAGTTCGTTCCGTAACTTAGCGTTTGGCCCGGTTTGCTGGAAGACGTTGGTTCGTATCAAGCCGGATCAAAAACATTTTTCTTAAGTGTTCGATCTTTGTATTATACAATTATAACAGACTAGATCTTGATCGACTGAATCATTATCACAAAAAGTATTAAGATCGTTTCAACTACCTACCTACAGATGCTTTTTTTAGAATTAGGAAAAAATTTAAACAAAGAAGCAGTGGTCGTAAACATTTTCCTACAGACAACAAATTACTGCACAGTGATATTTGATGACAGACACGACATTCGCGACACGACGTTTGGTGTTTGAAATCCGTTTTTTTTTAAGTTTTATTTATAGTGCAAGTCCTTGAATTAGAGAAATAAATAAATTTTAATCATAGAATTAAATGGCGTCTGATTGATAAAAAAAAACCAAAATTCCTTGTCTAATATTGATAAAAAAAACTAAATTAGACAAACATTGCGGTGAACCACATCGTACAGTGAAAGAATCACAATTCACGCCCAAACATTTAAATTTAATTTTACTATCTTTATGCATATAATATAACAAGTAATTTGCAACATTAATTATACTGCATAGGGTCTTAATTAGCTCAAGAGACAATGCTACAACAACTCCAATTTAGGGCAGTTTATATGTGACGCCCTGCAAGGGCACAGCAACTGTGGAAGACAGTCTCACATTGACATTATTAATACAGCAATTTAATTAATCTATATACAATACAATTTATACGTTATGAGTTATCAATCAAATATTAGAACTAAGTAATCATTTTATCAAATCGTCAAAAGATAAACATCTTTCTAATTGTATTAAATAACATATGACAATTAAACATTATGGGTAATTAGAATCTTAATTAATTATTTTAAATGTAAAGTCATTGTAGCAAATCGTCCAAAAATTCTTTTAAATTATAATAGCTTACGAATAAGGAATATTTTTAATACTTTGCAAAACTGTAAATTTTTGGAGATTTTTAATACTATTAGGGATATGATTATAAATTTTTATTAACATAGTGTGTGGGCCAGACACAACTATTTTCATTTTGGAGACGGGGATTTTAAGTTTGTTCATGTTACGGTCATTTCTTTTATTATTCTCTAGAGGAATTGGGGATGCTTTCTAATGAATTTACACGATTCCAGAATGTAGATGGAAGTAAGTGTAAGAATTTGATTTTTAA